TAAGAAGATTGAAATTATTCAGCCGGGCCCCTATCTCACTGTGGGGGCTGAGTGTGTGCACACACTTGTGACTGTTTCTGGAAACACACACACACACACACACACACACACGTATTGCTTCCAGTCATTGTGTGTGTTCGTATGTGTATATCACTTTAAAATCCATTCCTTCACTGACCCTCTGTGTGTGTGTGTGTGTGTGTGTGTGTGTGTGTGTGTGTGTGTGTGTGTGTGTGTGTGTGTGTGTTGAGGTCCATAGTGGGACCCCTGCAGCATGATGCACACTCTCTCTCCTCTTGTTTCCTGCCTGTTTCTAAATGATCATCCATCCAGTAAAGGTGAAAAACACTGGGAATATCATCTGAGACAGAGGACGCTGTTGGGAAGTGAGGACATTAACTGAGGACAGATTTACAAAGTGAAAACATCTGAAACCAGCCCTGTGTTAAATGGTTTCATCAGTGATGGTCTTCAGGGCAGTTTTGGAGGATACAGAAAGTGAAGGGATGCGCTGGAGCTAGCTGGTTAGCATGCTAACATCAGTAGGAGAAAAGACGTGATAGAGACAAGAGTCAACACTGGTGTTTCTTTCCACAGCTGGAAACAGCTGTCGGTGAGTAAAGGAATGAAGCTCGATGATGAACTCGCAACGTTTCTTCTCGACTGGTAATTAAACAGCTGTGGATGCTAACGTTAGCTTTGTAGCAGTGACAAAACTTACATATAGCTACTTTAAAAGGGGGCGTACCTGTGGCTCTCACAGGGCTCTCGTATGGTCGCCATAGAAACGTGACGGACAACAATATAAAGGGGAAGCTCAATTTTTCTTTTTCGTTTGACAGAGGGGAGATTCACTTTTTGATTCACCATCCGTCTCTTGACTCGTTCCTCCTCCAGTTTCTGACATGGATTTTTTGCATTTTTTAGAGGATGGGATCAAACATGTTAGATGTCGATTAAGGTTTGTGCAAGGGGTCAGTAAATGCATCACGTTGTGTGTGTGTGTGTGTTTGGGTGTAAACACCTCTCGTACCGAAACACACCACAAACATATCAGCAGCCCTGAAAACAAAGGTGCCCTGCAATGCAGCAGAAACTGTAATTAGTATTTCAAACAGGGCTTTTTCTGTGTGTGTGTGTGTGTGTGTGTGTGTGTGTGTGTTGGGGAGGATGGAGGGATGCAAAGAAATAAGAAAAAGACAAGAGTCAGTGAGAGTGGAGGAAAGAAAGAGAGAAAGAGAGAGAGAGAGAGTCACAATAGACTGCAGCTAATAAATCTGAGGAAAAAACGACACCTTAATTCCCTCTTAGAGCTTGATTGGGAAGCAGTGAGGCGTGTGCACGCTCAACCAGGCACGCACACACACACGCACACACACACACACACACACACACACACACACACACACACCCTTGTGCACAAATGCACACAAATGTACGTAGACACGGTCACAGAGGAGCAGCAGCATGGCTGGTGAGTAATGGGCCGGAGATGAGATGAGAAAGGGGCAGAAACAGGAATACAAGAAAAGGAAAGGGAGAAAGCGAAGGGAGTAAATTGTCCTTGAAGAATTCATGAAGAAAAAGAAACGAGGTTTAAACTGGTTGTAGTCAGATCTGACAGGAGTCGCCCTGAATCTCTGCAGAGCCTTTTAGCCTCTTCTAGCTCCTAGTTTTGGTTTTAAGGGACATTTACTATTTGCTTCATTAAAACATCTCCAAATTAATCGACTAAAATTGACGATCAAGAGAAATTATTGTTCCGTTTTAGTTCCCAATTAAAACCTATTCATGAAAAGTTGACCTTCTGGAGATACATGGTTTTCACAGGACAGCGATGATATGCTGCCAGTCCTGGATTAGACAGTTAAGGGACCGTGAGGCAACACCCCGTCTCACACCCTGTGTATGTGTGGCCTTCAAATCCCCTTCAGGTCCACAGTAAACCGCAGCTGCTCCTGCGCCGCAGTCATCTGTGTTCGTTAGTGACAAGTCGAATAAATCCAACTTTATTAGGAATATGTTTCATCTGAACACAAACTGAAATAATGACGCTCTTAAAACAAGGAAGAGCCTCAAACTCATAATAATAATTTATCTAATTTTCCTTCATGTTTTATTTGGATGGAGGATATTTTCTGTATTTCTACATTATTTCTTAAATTTATCTTTTAAATGCTTCTTCTTAGGCTCATAAAAATAATGCAATATATGAGTAAAATAAAGATAAATCTATAATAAATGCCTAAAGTGACATTTTGTAATATCACTGAGTCAGAGTGTTGTCTGTCAATCTACTTTAACCAAATTTTAGAGGCCTGTTTCGAGGCCTTCTGGCTCCGGATATGAGACACGTACGATCTCACAAGAATATAGACGGGAAAGAGGAGAGTCGACGGATTCAAACAACATTTAAATCATATTTCTACGTTGTATTATCGCAGAGATATTAATAGAAACATCCGTCGACCTCACAGGGTTAAGTGTGTTTATACTTATTACACTATTGTCAGGTTTTTATGACGATGGTACTTGTTTCCTAATATGGAAAATTTGTCATAATCGAACAAAAACTGAACAAAACTTGCTGATAATAAAGTAGATATTTCTACTTTATTGGCGTCCGATCAAATGGATTGACGAAGTTATTTCACCTATTCATTTCTATGGGGACAATTTTAATTTCGAAACAGGAAATACCGTAAAAGGAATCACACACGGGGCGAGACTGACTTACATGTATTTATATAACAAACTGTGGATTATCTATTCATTGTGCGTGCATATATGAGGATATGGATTTAAGTGTGTGTTTGTGTGTGTGTGTGTGTGTGTGTGTGTGTGTGTCGGTGCTGAGCCGTGTCAAGGCTCCTCGTCTGGAGGTGGATCATTCATCTCCTCAGCGGCGACAGCAGACGTCAACCTCTGTGTGAGTGATGGCTCTGAATCTGAACTAATCAGCCAGCTACACACACACACACACACACACACACACACACACACACACACACTGACCAGTGGCTTGATGTTTTGGAGATGGATTTTAATGCGACCTGTCATTTTTTTGTATCTTTGCAGAGGAAAGTTTCCTTGAAAAGTTTGTTTCGCTTCACTTCTGTTTTTATTGATCAGAAAACAAAATGGAGGGCGGCGTCACAGAAACACGTCACGATGCTTTCATGTGAATAAAGTCTAGCTGTGAGAGCACTGTTCTTCTATGTTCCTGTGGTTCCTGCAAGTGGATGTTTTGGACCTAATTTAAGGAGGAACCAAACAAGAAGAAATAGACGTCTGAGATTTTCAGAATTAAATTGAAATATCTAATAATAATTTCAAAATAAAAGCATAATAATGCAATGATAAAATGTATTATATGTATTAAAACTGTGCAGCCTCTGTAGAGCTGTTTGACGTTAATAGAACTTTGATATGAGAATAAAAGAACAGCAGTATGTTAATTATTTTAATCAAATTACATTATTAAAATACTTTGAAGGATGTTGGGTGCAGGTGTTGACTTGCATGTCTGCTGTGCACGTGACGTTGAAGGTTCATTTCCTGAACGTTTCAACAGAACCGGCTCCGCTCCTCAGTTTTTCTTTTTCAGTTCATATCTTCTCTGTCCGGTTCAACCAGATACTCTTTATATTTATAGATGGTGTGTTTTCTCTGGAGTGTAAGAATTGTGGACTGGCGAGGTGGACCGGACAGATGGTTTTCAGCCACACTTGGAGGACCTGGAGGGAGAAACAGAGCGTGGCGGACGCCCCCTCCTCCTCCCGTCCTCCTCCCGTCCTCCTCCCGTCCTCGGCTAGATTCTCCTCGCTCGTGTGTTTTTTTTTTTTCTGATTTCTGCTGCTCTTCAGTTTCCTTTTCACATGACATGATACAGTCCTTTCTCTCCGTCTTCTCCGTCCTTCCTTCCAGTACCTTCTATTCTTCTCTTAATCCTCCGCATCTTTTCTTCTGCTCTCTCCTCTTTGTTATTCTCTCCTGCAGATTTCTCTTTGTCCTCTTCTGTTATTTTCTTCCTCCTGTTGTCTTCTAATCTCTAATCCTATTTATCTTTGACCATTCTCTGTTTCCCCTTTCCTCATTTTACACCGAATCCTTCATTTTTTATTGTATTTTCACATTTTTTTTTATGATTATTTGCCCAGAAAACAAATAAAAAAGAAAAGAAAAGTGAATAAATCAGCAGTTATTTCTGAGTCTGTGGCTGAAACAAACTTTGGAGGCACACTGAAAGTTTCATGACACTGGGAGGAAGAAAAAGAAAAAGAAAAAAACATTTGGGGAATACGTATTTCCATTTCAGTTATTTCCACATTTCACACTTTCCAATAAGAATGAAATTCTGTGTCTGACTCACACAGGATTTCAGCCCTGTCTCCAGGAAAACATTTCTAACATCTCCCTCTCTTTATTTCATAGAATATGTGATTTTCCACGTCTGAATTTCAATAATATTCTCCCTTTATTAAACGGAGAGACATCCCTCGTTCTATTCCCTCTTTTTCTTTTACAAAGCCTGGAGAGAAACAGACAGAAAATGAAAATAAAAACGAGGACGAAAGAAGACAGAGTGAGGCGAGGACTAGGACGAGAGAGAGAGAAGGAGGGAGGAACATGTTTTTATAACCTGAGAAACACACGACAGTGTTTTTCCAACAACGTGTAACAGTTGTCTGCAATCCTCCTCTCACTGCAACATATATCAAACGCACCCTTTTGATTATGGCAGTGTCGGTGATGCAGCGTTTGAAAAGCTCCACCTGTGGGCTCGGATCGAGTCTCAACTGTGTTCACACCTGAACTTCTTCTGTCTACCTGTGATCAGATCAGCTGAGACGGAGGTTAATACCACCACTGCAGCTTTTTCCATTTGTTTTCGAAAGATAAAAACTTTGAGGATGAAGATGAAGATTTCAGCAGCGTTGACAACAACAGGTGGAAAATGAAGAGGGAGAGAGAGGGTGGACCGTCGCGGCCCCACTCACCTGTGTTGTAGTGCTTGGTGCAGTAGCGCAGGTCCTTCTCCTCTTTGAGTATGAACTGAGGTAGCGTCAGGCCGTCGGCCACCTGCACGGCTCCCTTCTCGTCCCACTCGAATATGAGGTCGTTCATGGTGTAGCCGACTGGAGGAGGCAGCAGGGAACAGGAGGTTAGACTGTTTTAATCAGTGTGTGGATCGTTTATTTTGTTCTTTCTGTGGTCGGGGTGCAGGGTCGACACCTGCAGGCACTCTGAGCTTAAAGGACCAGTTCAACACAAAACTGGAACTTTGTGGCTCCTGAGGTGAAGACAGGAGGAAACTTCCACCTGCACTGTTCCTTTAAGACCTTCTCACACGAGGTAAACTCACAGCTGATCAGTGCGGATATTAATTCACAGGTTAAAACACGTGTCCCCGCTGTCAGACAGTGACTTTATCAAGCTTCTCAGTATCTGTCGCTTCCTTTTGAAGCTTTAAAATCAGCCCTGACATCGAGTATCAGTGAGTGAGGTGTTGTTCTTCCTGTGTTGTGATCACTGACCTGCTCTGCGGAAGTACAGAGCTCTTTGATATTCAGCTGCTGCCGCTCTGATTCCTCTCACGTCTCCTCAAAGAATGAAAAGGCCACAAGAAATCTATATCATATCTCTCGCCCTGCCAGCTGCTCAGTGACTGATCGACTGATGCTCTCCACGTACCCCTCACTGTGTGTGTGTGTGTGTGTGTGTGTGCGTGTGTGTGTTTGTTATTACTCACAGCTCTCCAGCTGCATGATGCAGGTCTGCACGTCCATAGGGAAGTTCTTCAGATCCATGGGACAGGCCAAGACCAGTGTTATTCTGCAAACACACACACACACACACACACACACACACACACACACACACACACACACACACACACACACACACGCAGCATCACTTAGACTAAGAGGATTATCCAGAGCTTTATCAGTGTTACTCAACCAGCCAGTGCCAGGCTGCCGTGCCCAACACTGACAGACCAGGATGTTTTAAATGGATAAAAACGAACATGTTTCTCTGTTTTTTGGGCATTAAAAAAAAAAGAAAAAAAAAAAGAGTGACCACTGTTATCCACACTGACTAATGAAGAATACAAAGTAAACAACGGCTTAATTCATTACTGTCGTATTATCTGACTAATGTCCCAGATTTGAATGAAAACTAATTAAATGATAAGAACAGATTTGATGAAAATAGAAGCAACTTGAGTTGTTTTGATGAAGACATAAAACGTTTGATAAAAACAGATTTGTTTGGATTAGTAGCCACTGAAACAATAACACAATTAATCAATTATCTAAAATCAATGTGGTGGAATCATTTTAAAGTCATTCATCAAAGATTTCAAGCTTCTCCAATGTGGCGACTCGCTGTTTCTCTCTGTGGGATCACCTGTGTAAATGTAATATTGATCGAATGAACTGAATCAATATTGAATTTAACTGAACTGAGTATCTTTGGGTTGAAGACTGTCTGAAGAAGTCGCTCTGGGCTCTTCTTGTGGGTACTACTTCTTAAAAATTAAAGGTCGATATAATAAAAAGGTCTCTGTCCATGTGTAGTGTGATTATAGATCAGCTCTAGCTTCTATATTAACACTGTGAAAGTATCAAAGCCTCAGTCCACAGAGAAATGCACACAGCCTGTATTCAGACACTGAGCCTTAAAACCAGCCGTCAGGACTTCTGGAACTTTGTGATGTCACAACAAAGCAGTCACCAAGCCCCGCCCACCTGGACCCACCATCCAAACCTTGCAGGATTTGGTTTCTCTGAGTTTTTTTACCTGAAATCTGCTATATTTTTATTGGATCACTCAGAAAACAGTCAGCCAATCAGAAGAGAGGCTCAGAGCCTCCTCTCTTCTGATTGGCTCACCGACCTGTTGTTACTAGAGCTCCAGAGAGAAGCCTGAGAGAGGAGATGTGAAACTACACTGAGATGGTTTTTGGTTCTTAAAAACCACAAATATATCTTCTTATGGATCAACACTTCAAATAAAACACAGAAGAAGAAGAAAATATCAAGCTTTAAAAAATAATAAGTCTGGTGATATGAGTATTCATCCGCCACTGAATATAGTCCCCAGCAAATGCATTATTTCCTCCTGTTAGAGTAACATTTACTAAAAACTACTCGACATCCTTTAACTCACTCAAACAGACTGAATGAATTATCTCATCATTTATATCAATAATTCACTCATTACCTTTTTCTCACTAACTTCCCCAACATGATAATCAGTGTCGGGGAAGGCAACAGAAAAACCCTCCGCCTCAGAGAAACGTGACGTTAGAGGTCACAGTCTCCCTGCAAACCTCCGCTCTTCTTCTTCTTCTTCTTCTCTGCTGGAGGACTAACAGGATGAAAACCTGTGGCTGAGCAGGCGTGCAGCAACATGGGAATGAATCTTGTTTCATGCAAGGCTGATCCGTGAGACCCTGAAAATTAAAATGTTCAGGGAAGCCGGTCCCGCGTCGTCGTGGTGACACATTAGATTCCTGAGTCTCAGGCAGCAAAATTAATTACTGCTGTCACATGGAGGGAATGTATCAACGCTAAATTAAACTTTTTTTCCCCCCCTTAGAAATTAATGGAAAATGCATTTTTATTACTGATATGATGCATTACTGAAATTAAAGACTTTCATTTCAAAATGAGATATCCACCACTGGAAAAATAAAATATGTTTCCAGACTATTACTGCTCCATGCCCGTTAGACCGCCACATTTCCTGTTGTAAAACGAGTTGCCGGTTTATGTAAGATTATGGACACCGCAGAATCATCTCTATTTAAAAAAAAAAAAATGGAACCATTTAGAAATAAAATCACTATCGATATATTATTGTTGTTGAAAATGTATTTAATTGTTGCTTATTTGTGTTTTTTTAATGATGGCAGCTTTACTACTTTATAATTGTTCAATAATAAATCGATTTAGCAATTTGGCATCAATACCCACACAAAGCCTCACAGCAACACAAGACTATGTGTGTCAAAATAAAGACAACCCCCCGCCAAGATTTGAGAGAACAAGGTCCATTTAGTGGCTGTTCCAGAGCTTTCGATTGAATCCCATGATCTTGAATTTACCCAGTTGTCACAGAATGAACTCTGAACCTCTCTCTGAAGTCTTTAAAGTGCTAGAACAAAACGGAAATTCAAACATCTTTCAACTCCATCTGCTGATGAAGACCTTGTAATACAATTGAAAGCTCCAGCTACTAAATGGACCTCGAAGCGAGATTGTTTTTCTGCTGCCAGTAATGAAACTTTGAGCCTTAATATAGCAAGATATTCTTTACTGTCCATCTTAAATACATTATTTAACATTGCTGTCATTTCCCACAATGCACTGCAACTGCTAGGCTTCACTGTTTGCTCAGTAATACATTGTGGCAGTCAGGGAGCTTGTTACCTGTCATATGACTTTACAGGTAATGCTCAAATAGTACATCACCACAACTGGACTTGGTCTCTGAATCACAAACTGTTTTTTTAAAAAACCGGATCGAGTCCAGCTCCGGTTTTATCTCTGCAGAGTCTGAGCTGTCAGCAGGTTGTCGCGACGTGCACGAGGTGATTTCGCTGCACACACTCAGCCCTTCTGTTCTGCTCTAACAGGAAGACCCGCTGTTACAACACACACGTCCAGTCGGCCTGATGTACCGAATAAAGTTTGCGGCGTTTGCACATTGTTACACGTCCCTGACAGAATGCTGAATATGTATTACACACATAACGTAGTCTCCACAGATGTCCCACTTTTTCTCCCAGAGAGAGAGAGAGAGAGAGAGAGAGAGAGAGAGAGAGACTCAGCGCTGTGGTTTCTGTCTGCTGCTGCATCGTGACACCTCGATGCCAAATGCTGACAAAGTTAGTGCCTTGCTTTGTGCTGCCGCTGCTTCAGAGGGAGTTGAACCTCAAACCCTGCAGCTGCTTTTGTGCTAGTACATTACTATTGCAGGATAGAGGCTCAGCTCAACAGTGGGGTCCACAAGCCTGAGACCACTTGAACAGGAGAGTGGTGACATTAAAGACTACAGGATTTATTTTATTCTTATTTTTATTTTATTATTAAAAATCTGAGCTCAAAATAAACTATAATGTTTTAACTTGGGCTCCATATTTCTAGCCTATGTTTGTTCTGTCACATTAAGTATTCCAAATGAGCTATTAGCAGTTTGTGTTTGCACAGACAAGTATCACTGGATCATTTTAAAACTGACTGAAGAAAACTTGTGAATGTGAAGATTCTCAGGGGAGTTCTGGAGTTATAATGAGTCTTTTTTTTCTATGATTTTTAAGGGAATTTATGGATATTTATTCATGGTGGACATTGGAGAAGATGATCTTCTCGGAAAGTTAAATTTAGACTGAATATAAAAATATGAATATCATGTCTGTGTGTTCATATTAGATTGAGTTACGCCTCAGTTCAATTTTTGATGCAAATTCGGTAGTCAAGGCTCCGGGCGTTATAAGTGCCTTAACTGCCTCCATGAGCTGCGTCACACACTCTGCTTCAGCTCCAGCTGCTGAACGTGTTGGTGAGCAGCCGAGTCAGAGGAATAAACTACAATAACTAATGTCTCTTTATTTTTAGAAACCCAGCATGCACCTCTGCTTCTCCCTTCAACTCTCGACCCTCATAGTTTGAAAATCTCCCCTTTAAATCAAACAGTCTGATACTAAATATAAATATTATATTAAGTAATAATAATATGTGGGTTCTTCTTTTTACTCAGAAAAAATATACGTATTTTAAATGATTCTCTTATTTCTTATCCTATCAATTAATTTAATCATTTTAGACAGTTTTATCTAATTTTTACTGAAGCTCATTATTATACTTTTCTCATACATCTCCTCCCCAGTGTTGTAAAACCTTTAAACTATATTTAATCTTTTTGCTTGTTTGTTTTTAACTCGTCTTGTAAAGCACTTTGTAACTGTGTTTTCAAAGGTGCTACATAAATAAATCTTATTATCATTGTACATTATTCTGTATTTAATGTAATTTAATGTAGGTGTTAACGTTCTTTTTATTTCTATGTTTCCTGCATCTTATTATGATTTGTGTGCTTTATGTTTCGGTCTGTGAGTATTACTGTGTGTCATCTGTCTCTTGCAGGACAAATAAAAAAATCCAAAGAAGTTAAAGTTGAAAGTCTAAACTACGGGATAAAATGTGCCACTTGTCCTTGTTCCACAGTGACACTGACACACGAGCGTCTCTATAACGCGACTGATGTCACTTGTAAAAGTGTAAAAACAGCTAATGCATAAATGATGTGATGCTGTGAAAGGTCGTCCTTGTGTTTGAGGCTCAGTTAAAGGTTCAGGTGCGAGTGTGTCAAAAAATAAACCACTGGTGTCAAAGTCTCAGGTTTCCTCCATGTTTTGTGGCACTTTGACAGGAGAGTCGTACATCACATGACCACTTACAGTCTGTATGAGACGAATGTAAACGTGTTTAAGCTTTTGAACAAAAGTCAAAGCCAGAAAAAATATGAAAAACTATTAAAAAAAAAAGAGTGAATTCTCACATTTAATCGTCCCTAAATATCTTCTTTATTTTAGAGGAAACACTGAATACGATGAACACACGTGGGACAGCGCGTCAGTTCAGAGGAAGCTCTGCGTGTCTTTGAAGCGCAGCAGGACATTGGACTAAACACGTGAATCTGGCTGTCCAATCTCAAAAAGTTCACTTTCATCTTGGAGGAGACGCGGCCATCGGTCACGACTCCCCCCCCCCCCGATAAACATCAGAAAAAGAGTAAACAAGGCATTTACAAGGCACCACTTCCTGCCCCCCCCCCCCCCCCCCCCCCCCCCCCCTTCCCTCGGGACGGTTTAATACCCCGAGCCGCCTCCGAGATCAGGCCGATCAACGGAGGGTTCATTCTGATGTTGTCAAGTTAAAAAATGAACGCAGCGGAGGAAGAGTGCGGGGTTCATCCCTTTCCTGACGATATTTATAAAGGACCAATCTCGCTCCCTCCTCCTGCTGGACATGAAGGTGAAAACTGAGGTTGATAACGGATCGGGCTCGCCGCTGGAATACTAACAGGCTGAGTAGATTACCGCGGCTGCTGCAACGCTTTCTCATTCGCCCCTGAGCAGAGGCAATAAAAGCGAGGAGGAGAAGGAGGCACCAGCAGGCTGAAAGGTTTTGTCGGCTGAGGGCGGCTATAACTCTGAGAGCCTTGAAAGGGACGAGGTGGAGATGCAAAGAAAAAAAAAAAGAAAAGAAGGGAGGAATCCGAGCCAAGGAGGAAATAAAAACCTCCAGCTCTGACGCAATAAGAGCCACTCTGAAGCCGAGGATGAAGGCCTCTTGAGCCGGAGAGTCGTTCTCCATCGTCCATCACGGCTTTAAAACTTGTTCCAATAAAACCTCAAAACTTCCTTTATCTTTTTAAACTTTTTCTCTTCCTCTCGCGCCTTTTTAAAATGATCTTTCTACAGATGTGTTCAGGGTGCGGCGGTTTCTAATTGTGCTGGTCATGTCTGAATAAGACGCAGAAATACAGAAGCTAATTGGGAAGAAATTAAGGATTAAGGATAATGATGACGTGTGACAGCATAATTCTGTTTATCTGAAATGAGTTTCATTTAAAAATAAATTGGGGTGCTTAATAAAACGCACGTGCAAAACCACATCTTATTAAATGTGCAAGTATTTTCTATTAAAAGTTGTGGCCATTTGCACAATAATTAGAAAAAGGCACAAACATAAGATCATGGTTCAGTTTCTCTGAGTTCATTAAAATTAACTCATTAACTCAACAGTGCGTTCATACTCGAATGGAAGCAGCGAGATGGACGCACGCCGACTTTCTCTCACACTCGGAGAACGGCGCCTCACACTTCCTCCACTCACCGTATGCTGTAGAGCACGTTGCCGTTTTTAGAGATGCGCAGCAGCTTGTTGTCGGTGGTGACCTCGTGGAAGTTGGCGCCCTTCTCGTTGGCGAAGAACAAGTCGGGTTTCCAGATGGAGTCCAACATGGAGGGGTCGAGGTCCAGCGAGTCGTCGGGGTACTCGCTGTAGGCCAGCCGGGGGTCGTTCCACTGCTGTCTCAGGAAGATGTTCACCCTGTAGTCCTGGGAAAAGACGCAGAGTTTATTTTATTTACCGCGGATGATCACATATCTACTGACAAACATTACTCACAACGAAGCTACTTTAAGAGCATCCAATGATTTTAAAATGATGGGATGTCTATTTGCTTCCGACTGAGAGAGACTGCAGGAGGTCAGAGGTCGAGCAGCGGTCGGGTGTTTGAAGGCCACTGTGGTCGTTTCTCAGAGGAGAGAGGTTCCTTTCAAAAATGATGATACTGACGACTGACAGATACAATTTGTGGTGGAGGCAAGCGACGTGTACGGTGGCCCTGAGAGCTCAACACACTTCAACTGAAGAAAACAACTTCATCAATTTGACGACACACGAGCTGCAAAAACCCGCAACACAACGGAAGTGAGGTGTGAGGTATTGATATTTCTGTATCAGAAATTAGTCAGATCAATGGTCGTTCTACAACACTCTCAAACTGGCGTCGGAGAAAAGAGGACAACAAGACGAGGAAAAATCTTATCTTACACCAAAACACTGCCGTTCAAACATTAACAACTCGATGTCAGATTTGAATCAAGAGAGCAAGAGCTCCTCGTACTTCCTTCAAACATTCAGCAATTACGCAAAAGGAAATTTATCAGCAGAGAAGAAACAATGGGAGAATAATGTCTACACCCACAGGAGCAGAACGCAATGCATCAACCACACATCCACCTCTCATCTTTTAGCTCACATTATCCCATCACTAGCACCGGCGCTCTCTCCGCCCACGACTGCGTCCGCCAGGCAGACGAGACGGGTCGGAGGGGAAATTGATTCGGCTCAGAAATTGATTTACAACGAAACAGCACAAGTTAGAAAGCATAACTCCATGAAACACATTGAGCAGGAGGAGGTAAGAAGTCTCCGCGGGGGAGATGCTCGCTTAAAAAAAAAGAAAAGAAAAGGAAAACGAAAAAGGAAAGATGAGGGAAAAGGGAGGGAAAAAGGCTCGTCAAGGGTCATTGCACTGCTGAGTCAAGATGCTGTAACTCCACACGGAGGAGAAGGGTCGACAGATACCGGCAGATGCAGAGACGGAGTGATGGACAGGATTTCGCGGTTCGATGAGCAGGTGGTTACGGCTCTTCATCCATATGTCATTTTCTGCTTTATGTGAATGTAAGAGATTTTACTGATCACGCCGAGTTGTGGCTTCGAGCTTTATCCAGAGATCTTTTTCCCCCCCATCCGTGTGTTTGCTGCCTCAGAGTCTCCTCAGCCTTGAAGACAACAATCCACTCTTTTAAAAAACTCTACATTCATATTGTTCTTTTTTTTTTAGTCTTGGAGGCTTTTGTTTCCTGTTGTTTTATTGATAAAAATTTGTTGAAAGATTTTGTTTCTGAAGCGCTTAAACTACGGTTGCTGTTACAAAACAAACAAAAAAAAAAATGTGTGGAAGGAAGCTGAAGGTCACTGAGCTGCTGCTGCCTCTTCAGTCTTGCACAGGGAGATGGAGTGATACAGCAGACGGACGGAGGGATGGATGAACAGAGGATAGATCGCTCCGTACAGCATGTTTCAAAGACGAGGCCTCTGGGCCGGATGTACCGTATTTCAATCTCACAGATCCTACAGAGAAGAGATGTTGATGAATACGTCCGTTGAGGTTTATGAAGGATTTATTTTAGGTAAAAAAAACGAAGCAGCAGCGGCATAAATAACTGCAGTTGTTTCTGATGCTCGGGCGCAAACACTGTCCGCAAGATAGGATTTACCCGAAGATCGAGGCGCACGACTCTGTTCATTGAAAAACTACAAAAGAAAAACTTTATTACTGTCGCAACATGATTGAAAATGAGGCTAACCGATGTGCACAGTCATCGTGTGGCCAATCACAGGCTCTTTAACTTGTGGTAGAGAGAGTCGATCTGTCCAGGGTGTATAGCTGATGGATGGATTTAATGAATTGGTGTCTTAACTCTGGGGGGGATCAATTCCTTTCTTTGTATTCAATATTTGACCGTGGTTAGTTGCTGTTAAGCACTGTATCATCCATGAATCGTCTCTTTATCAGTATTGAAACCTGGTATCAATACTACTTCAAAACCACTTTAATACTGCAGGCTTCATACTCTGGCCCCTAATACCCACAAATATTTTCTAAAGAAATGTTCGAAACATTCATGAATCCCACAAAACTTCTTAATCAAAGTTAAAATCAAATCCGTGGGTGTGAAAGTTTAGTGACGTCTTTGATCTTAAAAAATGTCAAATGGAGGCAGGAGAGAAATCTTCAGCCAAAGATTTAGTTTAGCTAAAATATTCCAAAGTCCAAGTCCTGTCTGTGATGCTAAACCCTCGTGTGATGTACGGTACGTCCTGTACAAATAAGTGTGTGGTCAGATGTTTGACTTTTGACCCCGAAAGCTGCTGATCTTTGCTTTCCTGATATGGATCGGTGAAGATTCGGATAGAAGGGTTTAATCCAGCTGGAGTCGGAGCTGATGGAGGTTAAATCTGAACCGCAGTGTGGAATCGAAACCTCCACCAGGCGATTTTAAGACCTTCAGCCTCCAATGTTTAACTGAAAGAGGAGGATCAATACGTCTCCTACAGGTCTGACTGCATGTGTGTGTGCACAGGTGTGTGGACTCCTTCTCTTCCATCGCTGCGAGGACCAATCTGAGTTTTAGAAAGTGAGAACGTGTTACAGAAAGTATAAAGTCGACTCGTCTGAGCTTCCAGCGTCGTTGAAGTCTAAACAAAATGACGAGGAAGACGCGTCTTCTGATCCGTCTCTAGGATGACGCCATCTTGTCTTGTGCTTTCCAAAACCTTTAGAAGTGACGGCTGAGAAAATAAATCTGCTGTATGATGCGACAACGCTCTGGTTAAGGTTTGCTTTGGTTTTAAAATAAGAACTTGATTAAGGTGAGAGGACCACTGTTACCGTGGCAACAATAACAACTGCTTGGTTACGGTTCGGGAACGATCGAGGTTCAGAGAAACAACAGCAATCTGATGTTTTGTTGACCCAACCGTCCGCCTCCCTCTCCCTCTGCAGACTCTGTCGTAGGCGGATGGTCGTCTTTTTTTGTCGCTTTCTGTAAATTGAGCACAATCCGTCTCCGTAGCAACAAGAAAACACAACGTTGTTTGGGGTAGGGGAGACGTTTGGTCCAATCCTGCCTCACCTCTCCGAAGGGCAGCTCTGACGGTCGGGATTAGCATGAGGTAAAGGTTTAGACTGGTCGCCGTCAGCAGCCAGAAGATGCATTACACCAGCTACAGTCCACACAGACATCACATGAACATGTGCGTGTGGAGAACGGAGCATTTCATCATCTCCTTGTTGCTCTCCCTCTCATGCAGCTCTGTACATGCTCTGTATGTGCAGCACAATCAATCCAGGTGGAAGATATTAACTGCTGTTCCCTCAGAGCTTTATTGTATAACCCCTCCACCACTCCATTCGCCGTTTCACAATCAGAGACGCAGCCTCTTTATTCAGCATGGGGTGGCATTTAACTCGGCCCTCCATCCCCCTAATTGTCAATTATTCTCAGAATATGGAGCCGGGCCACTTCGTCCGGGCTGGAGCCGTCATTAAGCCGCACGGCGTAGCAGAAACGCATCGCCGGGACGAGGCGCGGCCATGCCAGCAGCCTCGGCGGGTGGCATTTAAGGGAGCAATCAGCCACGGTGCTGCATGTGTGCGAGTGTGTGTGAAATAACGCCACATGGCAATCAGCCTCGGCGAGACCCCCTTTGCCGTTTATCACTGTTTATTAGACTGAATATCTCACATGAAACAAATGAGCTTGACCTTTCATGAATGAGTCGCCTTTTCTTCTGCTCGAGAACATGATAAACAACCCGAAATGGCGCAGGGATGTGTTGATGGGAGAGAGAGCGAACGAGGGGAATACAGAGGAGAGGAGTGAAAGCCAACGCCAGGATCATCAGTCAGTGACCCGCCTGCAGTTTGGCAGCAGCTCGGAAAGAGCAAAAGTCGAGCAGAAATTGAGTCGCTAAGAGAATTATGTATTCGGCTATCACAGCTATATTTCTTACAAGGGGAATAAACTATTCAAAGTCTAGAAATCACAAATCCAACCTTTACAAACCTGATCATCTACCAGCTCACTCCCACCCTGCGCTTTCTGTGGCTTTTATAACCTCACTGTCTAACGCCAGCAGTGAAGCCACAGCTCCCTCCACAGCCCGGCCTTCTGCTCATGCGTCTGAAGCTCTTGTAATCTTCACTCTGTAAGTTTAAATGCATCTGATTCTGTGCCTTTATGTGCTGGAAGGAGATTCCTTCTGCCAAATCCAACTGTGTAATTATTTGCGACGACAAACAAAATATTATTTTAGGTTTAATTCTGTTGTTTCTAATTTAGCTAGCCAGGTTTCTTTTGACGTCGAATGTAAAGACACATTGTTTACAGATGATACTGTTGTAACCAAAGCTTCTATAAAACTACAAAATATTAGCTGTAGTCTAATATATTGTATTAAACTACATTTAGATGATTGTAGGAATGATAACAGCCGACCTGCGGTTTACATTTTGGTCGTGATTGGCGTGTTGGACCTTCTGCTCTGATCCTTTCACGTCTTCACTCTGAGCTGGAGATACTCGCAGTTTCAGCTTTTTTGACGTCCTTTGAAAGCATTTAATGGTTTGAGCTTTTAATTGTTTCAGTGGACGAACTGGTCAGACAGTGGATGCCATTTGGTCCATAAAACCTCGGCTGGACGGACATTAAGTGCATTAACCAGAGGGAGAAATGGACCACGCTGCATTCTAGGACTCGAATGAGCAAAAAGTAATTTGAGGGAGAAAATGAATGATTTCTGGGAATAACTTTGGGAGGACTAATTCAATCATTTAGAAAAAAGTCATTGCCACTGAGGCAGCTTTATCCCGAACGAGTCCTCCTCCTGAAAATGGAGGAGAAGTGCCGCAGGACGTCGGCATATGTGCGGCGACGTCTGTAGGTTCGTACTCGTGGTTTAATATCCTAGCATAAGGCCG